TCTTGACATCATAGTCAAATTAATTATGAGTATCCCTCATTTTCCCAAAACCTCCTGGAAACAACAATCACACTGTACAGGGTCAACTTAAATGAGAGTGACATAACAGATCAGAACAGGTCCACTGTCTTGAAGGAAAAGCGACCAGAGACCTGAAGGCAACCTCGCCCTTCTGTCCCGCCCTTCTGTCCTGCCCTTCCAGTTTCTCACCTGAACAAGCAGACCAGACAGCATTCTTAGAAGATTTACCCCCACCATTTCTCAGAACAGAAAGGCCAAAAAAAAAAGAGCAGATACTCTTTTCTCTCCTCTGTCCATGGTCAGTGCTTCCCAGAATCTCCCTCATCTAATCCACCATTACCCCCACCCAAGGAAAAAGTACAACAGATGACAACCAGCTATGCATAGAGCATGTATGTAATGACTACACACACACACACACACACACACACACACACACACACACACACACACACACACCCTCTTTTTGCTAGGCTGGCCATCCACTGAAATAAGCCAAGAGTTACCTCACTGCCTCTCCCTCTGGCATCGCTGGGCCAGAAGCTAATGAAGGAAAAGATTTAACAATAGTTAAATGACCACTACAGGATAAAGACAGAAGTAGAAAATATTTATCTTTGGGGCTTTTTTGTCTACTCTTAAGCCATGCCTGCACTTCCAGAAGAAGGGCGAGCCTTTATGCTGCCTCCTGTCGTCTCCAGGTTCAAAAATCATTACATCTCGCACAAACCACACAGTGTCCTCCTGAGCTCCCGTCCTGATTCACTCCAACACAGTCCACACTCTGAAACAGACGACTTTTCTGAGAACACGAGTCTGATCCTATTCCACTCTTGTTTGTAATTCTTTAATTAGACATATCATTCTATCATGCAATAGTTACATGTGCATATGGCATACCTCCCCCTATAAACTGGAAAGTCATGTGAGGGCCCAAACTATCTTACTTATATTAAATGATCTTCACTAATTCATTCAAAAAATATATAAGAAATGCATGTTATGTACCAGGCACTACACTAGCCCCTAGAGAGCTGAGTCACATCATTCCCTTCAATTTGTTTAAAATCATCTGTGCGTACAAGTGCTGCTGGGGGGGGGGGGGAGTTGCAGCCATATAAACAGAAAATTGTAATACACATAAAATTATTTATATAATTGCAATATATAACGTTATGATTGCACAGGCCAATTAATTAGGATCACAAAGAAGGGGCTCCTACTAGACCCTCGAGCTGATCAAGAAAAGCCTCTCAGAAGAAGTAACGTCTACACTGATACCTGAAGCATCAGCAGGTGTATATGAAGAACCAGGAACCACAGGCAGTCCATTAAGACTCGAGTACCGGCAAAGCATAAGACTTGAGAAGTATGTAGGGACCAGATCATAAAAAGGCTTAAGCCACATCAAAGCGTTTGAAGTTTATCCTGAAGACATTTAATTGTTTTAATAAAATGAATGATATGATCAGATTTGTAGTTTAAAATGATCACTCTAATTAGAGTATAGGAGTCATTCAAAATATTTGTTGAACACATGAATAGTTGTGTCATTAGCATAGTAAAAAATATTTCAGGAATCAAAAAAGAGAAAAGTCAGCTAATTAGTGCTGGCTGTGATGCCCCTAAAACGTTTTATGGTGGAGTTTAACTGGGCTTTTAAAAATGTAGGGTTTTGATAGGGCAATTCAAGGAAAAGAAAGATATTCCAGTTGGAAACAGGAAGAATGCAAGGAAGACTATGAGCTAGGAACTGGCTGAGCAAAAGTATAAGGTGAATTCACTGAAGAGTGAATAGTTTAGTTTAGTGAGTGCTGAGTCTGGAGAGGTAGAATAGACATCTTGGGGTCAACCTTGAGGTGCAGGCCTTGAATGCCAGGCTCAATATTTAAACTTGACCAGCCATGTTGACAGAAGGGTTTTGAAAGAAGAGAGGCATACTGAAAGAGGTTTACAAACAAGATTCAAGCAACCAGGTGATAGGAATTTGAAAGGAAAAAAAAAAAAGATGGAGGAGATGTGCTGCAAGATGCATACCAAAACAAAAGAGTTAGGAGAGAGAAGCCCAAGCATAAGGCTGAGTGACGGTGTGACACAAAGGTTGCCTCCCATGCCCACCTACCACCCCACTCCCACACCTCCAGCACCCGCTAACACTCCCGGAGATGGATTTACTTGAATGGAGGCATTTCCTGCAGTTTAGGGTGATCATCTGGAGAATGAGGATCTTTCTTTTTACCAAGCTGTTTAACCAACGTCTACACATAAGAACTCGGAGATGAGGTGTTTTGAAGAGGAAATGAAGGTAAAAGAACATTTGGAGAGTGAGAAAGGAACATCTGAACAAAGAGAAGGTAGCACCGAAGCCATTCTTAAACCCCTTAAATTAACTCCCCAGGGGTTCATTGAGCTGGGCTTCCCTGTGTGTTCTAGGAACTCCGGAGACATCAGACTCACACCAGCCGTGCAGCCCCAGACCCTTTCAGCTAAAAGGGCTCCCCATTCTCACCGTGTGGGTGGCCTCCTCCACCTACTCTTTGTACCCTCAGAAACCCTAAGAAGCAAAACGATAAACTCAATTGTTCTATTGTCTCCAATTTGAACTCAGGTAACTTTGGTCTCCCAAAGCAACAAGTAAATGGAATAGTACAAAGAGATACTGAAAAAATACTAGAAAACCTTCCAAAACTGTCTAGCAAACCTCCAGAGTACAGTGGTCTATTACCTGAGAAAAGCTCATCTAAGAAATATCACAGCTCTCATCCAAAGGAACAATGTCATTTGTAAATAGATCTCATAGAAGATTCAATGAACCCCAGGCCCATAGAAATAAATTCTTTTTTCTCAGCCTTTTTCAAAGTCAGAAAACCAAGCTTCTCACAGTCGGCTCATACATTATTTATTCTACTTTGTTGCAGGTGAGGAACCTGAAGTTGCATTCTTTAAGGTATACAGATATTAATGGCCCTAAATTATGCTCCAAATTGGATGGTTTCCTGCTGGAGCAGATATGAATTACTGCAAATTACTAGATTCTTCTGGAATGGCATTTCATTTGTTATCATTTAACTGATGATTGTTGTTTTCATCAGGACTTTTTAGAACATCAGATAGATGTTTGTTAGGCCTGATTAAGTGGTAAATTTTCCTTGGCTTCCTTTTGTTTCCAAAGTAATCATGGGCTTCTTCCTGTCTCTTTCTGTTGCCCACAGAGGCCATAATGAGGGTAGTTAAATATGCAAATATGAGAAAGAGAAACAAGGTGTCAACATACATATAATTTACCTACTGAGACATCCTACTTACTCATAAACTGGGAATCACATAGCTAATAAACTGAATAATTTTCCTAAATAATTTAGGCATATTTTCCAGTGTCTTTGCCAGTGGGCAGCTCAGGGGTCTTTTGTCCCTTTATGACTCATCAACACCTCCAGACACTGCAAGATAAGGAGATAACTTAAGTCAAAACAATGTGTGGGCAACAGATACGCAGCTGCAAGTCCAGTCCCCAGGCTTCTTTCCAAGCAGATGACCACCCTTCTCTACCTGGAAATACTGTGGTCAGCTCAACTGTTTCCCTGTTTGAAGAGAAGAGATTGCAACTAAACAGAAAATACAAAGTTGTTTGCTTTGTTTTATTTTCTAAAATATCGATATAATATGTGGGCATTTCAGTTTTTCCAACTGAATATCATTTCTCAGACATTAAACCAGATGCAACACCGTGCCAAAACTGGAACTATAGATAGTTTACTGAAGAAGATGCACAGGCGGACCACAAAACCCTTCTAAATCAAAGGGAAATCACCCTCTGATACCTCATGGCATCAGAAAGTTCTATTTCTTCTTGAGTATTGTATGTTTTAATTGAGGTAAGATATTTCTAACAAAAAGAATGCCAACCTATCTATAATTTTATTATCAAGGAATTTATCTGATTAGTTTCCCTAAATATAATCTCAGGTCAGAGACACTGAGAAATGCGCATTTCCAAGAGTGGAGTATAGTATGCAGCATTTCCCAAACATCTTGGGCCACGAAACTTTTTGTAACACAAACTAACATCGCCCAGAAGTGATGAACAATATGGGAAACACTGCACACTGCTATTCATCATCAGTTGTCACTGGAACAAGAGCAGAAGGAAGAACGTCAAGGCACCGCGTGCACTGAGTTTTAACACGTGGGGAGAAGTTTTGAGGAGTGTGCTGAAAGCACACTCTGCCTACTTCACAACTTTAAGAAACGCTCAGTACATCATAGTATGTTTATTACGGAAATAACTGGGAACCTATTAACAGGTGTGATCTTAATTGCTCCTAGGTAGTTCACGGCTGTCCTTAAATCCTAGGAATTACCAAATGCCTAGATAATACGGTGTATACCCAACACATATTTTTTTTTTTTTGAATCAATATTAGAATCAAACACTTGACCTGACAGATAACTAAAAACGAAGACTCTGAACCCAGTTCGGCCACCAACTGGGTGTGTGATCGGGTCTCAAGGCCTCCTGGGTCTCCCTGTTCCGTGCAGCAGGCCCTTCGGCTCTAGACGCCTCCGGTAACGCACACAGGGAAGACAGCACGGCGCTGGACCCCGCTGGCCCGTGTCACCCACCGAGCAACTGCTAGCCGGGCCGGCACGGGAGCCGCTTCTTTCCTTGGAAGATTTAAGTGCGCCATTCCCAGCTAAAAAGCATATCTTAAGGTGCTTCTCGCCCTCAACTGCTCCATAAACTTTTCTATAAAATCTTAGAACCCAAGCCACTGACCTCTCAGCTCATCAGGCATAAAACCGCCATTTCTGGCCCCCTCACCACCCAGGCTAAGAAGCACGGTCTAGTGAAAATGAAGCCCCACCAGTTACCGCCTCACACTTGGAAAACGTCACGAACTTCTTTCCCCTGCGCGTTGCCCAAAGCCCCCGCGTTCACGCGCCCACGGCGTTCTGCGGGCGCCCGAGCCCGCGCGTACCTGGTTGAAGTGCAGCCGCCCGGGCTCGGGGGCGCCCTCCGCGGGGGCGGCTCCCAGCTGCTCCAGCAGGCGCCCGAGCTGCGCCGCCGACAGGCTCCGATTCGCGCCGAACACGCTCAGCACGTCCTCGCTGAAGGCCAGC